AATCTTTTTTTAAAATAAAAAAAAAATTAAATAAAAGCCTGCCCAGGATGCTCATTAAGACAAGCAAACATGTCCCACAGGCCCATAACAGAAGCTTCTTCCTTTGTTGTAAACCCCTCTCTGTTGCCCTTGTGTAACTGATGGCCCTACAATGTAACACGGGATGTAACGGCTCATTCCTTCCTTTGTACAACCCAGGCTCTGCATAACAGATAGCCTTACTATGTAATCATGAAATGCTGAAACTCCGTAAGTAACCCATGATGTCACCCAGCTCTCCAATCTTCTGCAGCAAGTCTGTCTGTGTACCTCCGTGCTCCTCTTCCCTTTAAAAGTCCTCAAGCCCTGCCAGCGGGCGCTGGCTCTTTGGGAGAGACCCTGATCAGAAGCCAGTGGTGTAGTAAACTGCCTCCCTAACCTCCTCAGTGCTGTTTCTTCCAGTATTTGTTGCAACAGCACTATTGTTGAAATGAAATCATCTGATTTCAAATCCTAGTTTACTAGTTTTATTACTTAAGAAAATTAAGATCAATACTTCTATCTTTCTATCAATAAGATAAAATTAGTATTTCATGCATGGAAGAGATATTTTAAGTATCAAGGAAGGTAATATCATACCATAGTACACAGTAAACAGATTTAAATGGTCTCTTTCCTTTTTATCACTATGAGTAAGAATGAAGATCTCTACTTGAGAAACTAATATTAAACAATTCTAGTTCACTTAAAATCATGATTATCTATCTATAAAGCAGCATCTAAGTAAGATCCAGTGAAATTATGAAGAATTTTTTTTTAAATCAAGGTACTTTCATTCTAGTTGTTGCAAAAGAAGAGTGATATCCCAGATTCTTTCTTTTAAAAATACACAAAATGTTTCTTATTCCTATTTTAAAATATGACTGGCTTGAATAAAAAATTGACAGGAAAAGTGTAGTTAGACTAAGCAAAATGTAATTATTTTAGTGTTTTGGGAATATTCAAAGTTAAATCATTGATGTCATTCAAAATTACTAACATTGGTACATATGACATTGCCACTCTCCAAATATGAAAATAAATAAATAAATAAATAAATGACTATAAATGACCTGGAAATAGTTAAACTATAACCTGGTAGAGTCACTCAATTATCTTGGGGATTATTTTATTCCTTCTCTAATAAAAAATAAATATAAATGATAGAATGTATTTTAAAAGCCAACAGTGTATAGTATAAGGCCTTTTAATAAATTTTATTTTGGCAAATAATCATAAGTTCACAAAAACTGAATCATAATGATTTCATTTATTTGTTCTATATGTATCTGATTAATAGGCATTAATTTTGTTAATGGAAACAAAGGAACTCTATTGTTACATACAAAATAGAAATGTAAACACTTAGCATTTCCCACAACTACTGACTTCACAATTATTTTGACTGTTATTTTAAATAACATTGTGAACGCCAGAAAAGATTGGACTAAGCAAAGTGCTCTACTGCCCCCTAATGAAATAAATCAAAAACAGAACAAAAATCCTCAGAAAACTCATTTTGAAGTATCTGTGGAACAGAAAAATAATTTTCCTTTGCAAAAGGCAGTACACAACACCAAGATAATGAATTGAAACAACCAGAATATATACCAAAATACTGTAGGAAACTATAATCCCCCAGGTTCTTGTGATAAAATTAGTAGCAAAACAGGAAAGCCTTGAGGAAAAAAAGTTCTAAGAGAAAGGAGACCACAGTCAAACAATGTTATCTAGTGTGATAAAATTTCAACTTTACACAGAACACATTTTTCATGTGTATTCTGGCAATGAAAAAGCAAACGAACTCCTAGAAACTATAGTAAAGTACCCTGAGTTTTTAGTTCAACGGCTCCAAATTAAAACCACCAAACCAGTCTCAAAATTTATGTCTAATCCTCTTAGAAGTTTTTTAATGTTTGTAAACATGTGGGATAACTACTCTACAAAATACAAATTTAAAAGAATTTTACCTCATGGTAAAAACAATTTTCTTTTTCCTAAGTATAACAAGTTGGTACTTTATGGGACTTAGCTTATAAACCAATCTTTCTTTTCATAAAAGCTCTCCCTTTAACAAACTTAGTTTTAAAAACACACTCCTTTTACTTAACATTCCAACTCATCAATAGATTTTGAATCTGTATTTCAGAACACAGCTATCATTTGGGGGGAAAACTAGCTTATGGGCCTTATTAATAAAGTAAAGTGAAAAGGATAGAGCACTAGATCATAAAAACAGGAGAATATAAACAAAAAAGTAACAATTCCAGGCAGCAGTATGCTGAGGAAAAAGGGCACAGTAATTACCTATTCCCTTCACAGACAGGGCCCAAAGTACCACTGGGAGAGGGCATGTTTCTGTCCACCTTAACAGTGGTTTTCTACATTTTACTTTGATAATTGTTTAGAGATACAGGAAATGGGGACCAAATCCACACAGCGCCATCACAGAAGAAGTCACTTAAGCCTGCGTACAAGAGAAAGGCACATCCTTTACATTTGGGATTGCGGCTCCTCTTCCTTTGTCTGTTAATGAAAACAGTGGTCTAGCTCTGCAAGTTATAAGGTTAACGGTCTATGTATATATAACAATATCAATCCCTAATTTAAAACACTAATGGATAAAAACATAAATGTACTCTAGCACTTATGTCAAATGAATCAAATTTCATATATGTATTAGCTTCCTGAATAACAGGAATGTAAAACATGACTGTTTTACTAGAATTATTCATTTCCACTACCTAAAACTACAAGAAATACACAGGCAAATTTTGAAACTGCAATAAAAGAGCTGAATAGACTTGACATTACAAAAGTCAAGTACTGTTCAAGTTGTGATGCTTAAAGTGTGTTCAAAATATGATCAAAATAGTATCTTTTCAACTTACAACCAAACTGCTCCTGATTCCTCAGAATATAGTATTCATGGATAAAAAAAGATTTTTAAATATAACGGAGTACTACTCTGCCATAAAGATAAACTTCAGACATTTATTGCTAAATGGATAGAACCTGAGACCATATTCTTAGTGAAATAAATTGGGCATACATGTGTAAATACCGCATTGCCTCACTGGAGAGAAATTGAAAATGTAAATAAGATAAATAAGAACCAAGCTGCATAAGAGATATGGTGAAATGGGAAGAAACTGTTCAACAGGAAAGAGGAACAAGGGAGGAGGAGAAGAAAAGACAGAAAGGGAAAAGAAAAATGGAAAGAGAAAGATAAAATGGAAACAAAGCTTTGTAAATAAGGCGGGGAAGAGGACATGGCAAATGGGAGGAGAAAAACACAAATGAAGGTGTATCATGTACAGGTACAAATTCCCTATGATGATACACCTAAACTGTACCAATAAACTTAATTAAGTAAAAAATACAATATTCATATGAAATACAACAGACAAGACATACAGTTACAGGAGTATTTATGTATGTATTTTCACTCAGGAAAAAGTCCCACATGATCAGTGATTTGTCCACACCATTCATCCTAAGGCCAAAGGAATATTTTCTCTGCTTTATGGGAAAAACAGGACTATCCAAACTATTTTTCCCTCAACTTCTAACAAGCATAAATATAAAAACACAATCAAAAAAAGAGATAAAGAAAACGAAAAGGAAAAATTATCTATTAGGATATAAATTTAGTGAAAACATTGGTCTAAAACAAAGGGTCTATTTATTTAGTTAAGTTCCCAAAAGTTTTACTGATGATGATAGCAGCAGCCAGCACTCAGCAAACACTTACCATAATAGCAAGCACTGGACTAAGCACTTTATATGTACTAAGTATTTAGTCTTCACAAAAATCTATGAGATTGATACTATTACTTCCACTTTACAAACAAGAAACTGAGACCCAGAAAGACTAAGTGCCACGCCCAAGATTACATCACTACTAATTTGTATGGTTACATAATATACCAATCAGTGCAACTCTTAACCACTGAGTTACTATTATCTTCCAGTGAAAATGTGTGAAATGAAATGATTTTGAAACACTAATAAACCAGTAAAGACCTAAATTCCATAAGATTTTATAATCACATGATTTAGGATAGCCACAGACCCTAGTTCTTTAAAAAGACAAACATACATGATTTAGTAATTTCCATCCATGAATATCCATTATAAATGCCATTATTCCCTGATCACATTCAACCAATATTTCCTTTCTTAGATCTTCTATAGTACCTCATTCTCAACTATATTTTATTTGTCCTAAAATGAGATAAATATTCTTCAGTATAGGAGAAAACTCATTCTCCCCTTCATCTCTTAAAAAAATCAATTGAAGTATAAAATATGATAAGTAGTTCTCATTACGTCTGAAATATATATTAGTATATGTGCCATAGTAAGAAAAACTATTCCATAATATGTCTTGAATCTTTGAGAATCATGTTGCTGCAAAATTAGTACCAAAAAGGAAATCACCATGTGAAAACTAATCTCAAATTCTGTCCTGCAAAAGCTGGAATTTAAACATATGCACACACAACACTACACACAAACAAACACAATTCTAGACAGCATCACAGACAACAAACAACAGTCCTACCACCTGTATGCAGCTTAACACACAAAACAGCAGTGGATATTCACAAATATCTACAACATTAAAATCATAATTTTATATGGTCATCACCAAAGTTTTCCTTTGCAGAAATCAAGACATGAAATGTCCTTATTAAAAAGGTACAAGATCAGCTTTTTCTTCAGATAAATAACAGTGACATCAAAACTGGTCATAAAGATCTGTCAATTAATTAATCTTTACTTAATTCTAATATATATTTAAATGTTAAATCCACAGAGCAAATACTCTGGTCTCAATAAAAGTGTAAGACCAGAGGCTGAGGCACAAGAATCACTGTGAGTTGAAGACCACCTTGAACTACACAGCAAGACCCTGTCTCAAAACAAAGTATAAGAGCTACTGAAGTATATCATTTCATTTTAACATCATTTCTTACCTTTGAATCTTCACTGTTCACTCCTAGTTGTAACACGACTTGAGGAGATTTTAGTTTTGCTTGAGCAGAGTGAGCCATTTGAAGGTTAAGCTGCCATCCAACTGTCTCCAGCTTTGTATATAAAAGACAAGCGAAGATTGGAATCACACTGTACAGAGGAACAAGCGTCAACTTTAAGCAAATTTCTACTTAGCAAGACTGAACACAGGTAGCCTAGACTTCATGCAAAGTCAATGTCAGGGCTCCTTTAACTTGCACGCTGTAAATTTTCCTCTTGAGTTCAGTAGATTGGCCTTTTGCCATGCTTGTCAAATTCAACAGTAAAAGTGATCATTAAGTACTCTATCTAAAAATAAAAACCCTCAGCAATGAAGTACACAGAAAGAGCCAGTGATTTTAAAAACAGAATTTTGGTGAGGGGGAGGGGGATTTGAGACAGGGTCTCACTATGTAGTACAGGCTTGCCTTAAATGCACATCAGTTCCCCTACCTCAGCTTCCTGAGTGCTGGAATTACAAATGTGATCTATCACACCCAGCTAAAAATAGGATTTTTAAAAACTAATATTTTTAAGTGGTTAAAAATTTCAGCTAATAAATAGCATATAGCATATACTATATTAGCAAAAGTACTTTATTGACATCCCATAATCTTAAAAAAAACTTTGCACCTTTATATTAGATAGAAATCTTTCTCTCCTCACCTTCCACTCTTTCCCTCAGAGAGAAACTCAAGTGCCAGACAGTAAGAGGCTCGCGCCTTTATAAACAGTAAGAGAGAAATAAAGTCGGACAAATTGGTAACTACTAGATAGCAAGTGATACCCAATACATCATTATCATACTTTCTGAAGCACCTTAATCAATTCCCAGTTGTGATGAAAACTAATTACACTTCCTTTGAACTTATTAACACAATAGCACAATCTAATAAGGTAAGACAAAAATACAAAAGAAAGACTATGGCAGTTTCTTATCTTTTTAAAATATTAAGCAGCACAACTGTGCCTTTATGGATCTTCATTATTGGTTCCTCCAGTCTCAGAGGCTGAATTCCAATAAATTGCACATTATCAATATTAAGGGAAGTTTTAAGAAATGCAATTGTTATACACCTCTGAAAACAAGACCCTAATCATGGATTTAGCAAAACTACCTTAGCTAAACTGGTAAGAGTGCCAACCTCACAATGATTGTTACTTGACCAGAATACTAATCACTTAACTTGAAAGACTGTTCAACAGCTACACTAACAGCAGTGACTCAAAGCCAAGCAGAAAAGAGCAATGAAAGTATCATCTATGTGAGAGAGGATGTGATGAGAAAATAAAGATACAGTTTAGCTATTCATGGCACTTTCAGAGGTTACGAGTAAAAGGGGGACACAATCCATAATTTCTAGTAAGGGAAAAATCAATTTAATGGTGCATGTTAAGGGTCCTAAATGCACTGATCTTTAACACTGATTACAGTAAACACAATCTCTGATATCAGAAGCCACTATTTTCAACAGTCACAGGCACCAGATGCACCAACATGTAATTCCCACTGTCATTAATGAGAAATATTTTGACACATTGTCTTAACTGGAAACACCTTATAGGTATTCACATGGACTTGTACTGAGCTTATTTAATTGATCCTATCCCTGAACTCAGGCACTGAATTTAATTTATGAAGATAAATATTAAGTAAATAAATTAAAACATGGCTCATTGCAGTCAGGTCTTGCCATGTATTAATGTATGCTTAAACACAGTAAAGCTGGTGTAGAGGAACTAGAGCTAGCACTGTGCTGACACATGCCTATAACCTTAGCACTCTGAGAGGCTGCAGCAGGAAAATTAAAGATTCCACCACAGACTGGGCAGCTAAACAAAACTCTTGTCTCAAAATAAAAAATAAAATTGAGCTAGAAATTTAGCTCTGTGCAGATACCCTGGTTTAAACTCCAGAACTACAATAAATAAATAAGCAAGAATTAAAAGATTATTATTTGTACTTCAGCTGTCACTCACTGTATGTGTTCCTAGCTACACTGTGACCTTTCAAAATGTCAGTTTCCTCGTGTACAAAATAACTAACTCACTTTCTGAGTTACTGGTAGCATCAAAACAAAAAATGCATAATCAAAGTATTTTTGAAACTTCAAAGCATTATAAATAGAGGATATTTTGATCATCTAATTTTTTTCTACAATATATAATTTTTCTACAATTTGAATGTAATGTATATAAGTATATGTATACATATACACAAATATATCTGTGACTTAACCTTTCTTTTGCCAGATATGTAGTTTGTGAATATTTCTTCTGGTCAATAGCCTGACTTGTCTTCTTCGCAGGATCATTTGCAAGAGCAAAATTTTTCAGCTTGTTAAGAACTACTTTACCAATTTTTTCTTTAAAATTGTGATTTGGGTGTCAAATCTAGTAACTATATCTCTTCGTACCATTCATTTTCAGGTAAACACTCCTCCTAAAAGCATATTTATATTACACAATTATGTATTTGAGATCCAATCTGTAACCTCCCTGCCTTAGCCTCCCAGAGTACAGCTAAATATTTTTCAAATAATTTCCAAAATTAATGACCCTAATTCAGATCCTCATTATCCATCTCTTCTCAGATTAGCATAAAATAATCTTGTAACTGAGCTATTTGTAATCTATCTAATCCACCCTGTCATCTCATTTGGTTTCTTAAAATTCTCCAAGACCAATAATCTAGTACTCTGGGGCACTGTATAAGCACCAGTGTTAATCCACTGTACCACCACTGGGTTTGACAAAGATTTACAACCAAAATATATAAAGAATTCTTATTACTCAATAGTAAGACCAAGAAATCTATAGAAAAATATTTAAAAATTTGAACAGATAACCCACAAAAGCTACACAAGCAGCTAGTAAACATAAACATTCAGCATCCTTAGTAAAAAATGAAAATTATAATATACCACAATCTACCTATTAGAATGGTTAAAAAGAAAAAGACTGACAGTATCAAGTCTTGCCAGAATATAGAGCAACTACAGATTGGCATAAAAGGGTATAACCACTTAGGAAAAGAAGTAAATTTTTATAAACATAAACCTACACCTACCCAATAATCCAGCCCATACCTAGCAATAGCCTAGATGTCCATTAACTGGTGAGTGGGTAAACAGATTGTGTTGTTTCTATAAAATAGAATACTATTCTACAATAAAAAGAACTACAAGAACATGCAAAACAATGGATAAACCTTAAAATTATATAGAAGAAGAAACAGACACAAAGTATATTCACAGGATTTCATTTATACAAAATGCCACTGATGGTGCCTGAAAGCAGATCACTGGTAGCTTCAGAGCAGGTTAGAGGAAAAAAGAACTGAAAAAGGTCATGAGAAAACTTTAGAAGGTCAAAAAAAACTTTTGGATCTTGGTTAATACTGATGAGTATTATGAGAAATTAGGAGTATACATTATAAAACTCATGAGCCAATTTAAAAGACTACACTTTATGGAAAATATAATTTTAAAACACTTTTTAAAAGATACAATGTACTAAAAGTTGTAACAAGCAGTGCATAGATGAAAAGAGAGAGAACTTTTAGCTATCTGAAACCAGTCACCCTCTTTGCCATCTTCTAGTCCATGGCAACAATGGGAGGCAAGAAGCACATCACTGCTTTCCTCACAAAAGAAGACGCATTTACTGTGACAACAAACAGAACCAGACCTCAGAGGTAACTGGTAAACAACATGGTATCTGTGTTGCATAAATGCAATGCATTACACAACGCGAGCAACCCCCTGAATTTATGGTCAAGTTACCCAGCATCCAGTGACTGAACACGTTCACAAAGTATTCTGCACCCAGGAAACAGTCTGCAGGAGTCACCAGTATTCACTACCCTCTACCAAAGTCCAGAAACGACTAGGCCAGTGTTTTCCTTTCAGTACACTGTGCTTTTAATGATGCTGCCACATCAGATCATATAAAGAAGCAGAACAGCTTTGTTACACAATTTAGGTACACTCAAGCCTTACCTTCAGGTTTAGACTCCACAAAAGTCAGCCTCACCTCACTGCTAGATGACAAAGAATACTTCTTGACCTGCAGACTTGGCCAATGAACCTAATCCTGAGATTGGTCTTCCTAACCAAGTTGTAAGGAGTTCAGAGGAAGCATTAATAAATCTTCTAAATTGCTTGCCATCTCTATAAGCCAAGAATATATGAAGATAGTAGGACAAGTTTGAGGGCAGTGAAATGTCATTCATCTAATGCGCCCACAATTGGCAACACTCTGAAAAAGTGCATCAACTCTATTTAGCAAGTGTGCATCTTTGAATACTATGACATAATAAGAGTAATTTTGCTAACAGCACAGTTACTTGGCATTAGCAAAATCTTTATTCAATTTGTTAATGGTTCTGGTTTCAGTCAATTACTTATGAAGTAGGGAACACATTTCTCTTTCAAATAAGACTGATTAAGGGTCTCTTAGATCTGAAGCTCTTTCAATTGATTGCTGCATCAACAGCTAAATTCATCATACTTTATTCCTAGAGAATTTCCATTTGTTTAAAGCTAAATTAATATTTTCTAGTCTCCCTTTTAAAGAAGAAAATTTGTAAATGACTAGACTTTAGTTTTCCAGCAAAATTCTAGAGAATAAAATAAATGAAGCACAAAAAACCTTAAAATACAGCCAAAAACAAAAATAAGAAATACAAAATATAATTCATACTCTCCTCCCTTTACTTTTTTTCTCCATCAATTAATGAAAAATATTATTTTTCATCAGAAAATCAAAAAGACTAAACTTCAAAATCTATAAAGCAGGGATATAGTTCATGTAACAACTATTTATTGAGAATCCACTGTCTTCTACCAGCCAGTAAAGAAGTGAAAACACAGTAGTGAACGAAACAGACAAAAATGCCTTGCAGAGCTTATACAGTGACAGTCAATAGAAAGTATAAGGTAAAATACAGAGCAGACTGACAATGATAATTATTACAGAGCAGAATGAGATAAGAAAGTAAAACGGACAAGGGTACTTCTAACTAGAGTGACCAAGGAAAGATTCACTGACAAAGGTTACCTTAAGTGAAGAA